GCTGATATTGAAGATATTATGGGCTTTGGAGTTAGAGGACATAGGCTGGAATTCTGGATAAACCCTGTGCTAGTTGTGTGATCATGGACAAGTTACTATGTCTTTTAAACATCATAATTTTTATATTCATATTTAGGTTTATCAAGAACTTGGAAATGGAAAATTTGCTCATTCACGTCTGACTCATGGACAGTCAGGAACACCAGGCTCCCGTGTTCATAGGATTTTTCCTGGCAAGAGTACTGGAGTGGTTTGCCATTTCCTCTTCCAGTAGCTCTTCCTGACTCAGGGGTTGAACCCACAACTCATGCATTGCTGGTGGATTCTTTATTGCTGAGCCACCTGGGAAAGCCAACATAAAGAATTTAACTCCTAAGTTTAAGTAATAAAATTAAGCATACACAATACATTTTTCTTCAAATGTTTTAATGACAGAAAATGTGTTTCTTGAATTGATCATAGCATATTACATTTTTTGAAAACAACTAGTGAAAATGGTCTCTAATCAAGTAAATTGACTGTGATATAGATATCATCAGGGGCCAGTAGTCATGATACTTAGATTCATATAGACCTTTTTTCAGTGGCTTTTAACTTACTTCAAATAGGAACCTAACATAATGGGATGACTGGTTCAAATGATGTAGAAAATTAGAAATATAAGATTTAACTTGCCTGTGAGTGTCCAGCAGTCTCCAGCAGAGGTGTGGGTCAGTGGTGGCCTGCAACAGGGTTGGGGGCACTGACTGTAGCAGTGTGTGCATGGGACATTTTGAAGGAGGCCACCATTATCTTTATTACATCCACAATAGTTTGGCAGCAGGTAAATAACAGGGAGAGGGCACAGCCCCACCCATCAACAGAAAATTGGTATAAAGATTTACTAATCATGGCCCTGCCCTTCAGAACAAGACCCAATTTCCCCTCAGTCAGTCTCTCCCATCAGGAAGCTTCCATAAACCTCTTATCCTTCTCCATCAGAGGGCAGACAGATTAAAAACCACAATCACAGAAAACTAACCAATCTGATCACATGGACCACAGCCTTGTCTAACTCAATGAAACTATGAGCCATGCCCTATAGGGCCACCCAAGATGGATGGGTCATGGTGGAGAGTTCTGACAAAATGTGGTGCACTGGAGAAGGGAATGGCAAACTACTTCAGTATTCTTGCCTTGACAACTCCATGAACAGTGTGAAAAGATATGACACTGAAAGATGAACTCCCCAGGTTGGTAGATACCAAAGATGCTACTAGATATCAGTGGAGAACTAACTCCAGAAAGAAGGAAGAGATGGAACCAAAGCAGAAATAAGACCCAGTTGTGGATGCAACTGGTGATGGAAGTATAGTCCAAAGCTGTAAAGAGCAATGGTGCATAGGAACCTGGAATATTAGGTCCATGAATCAAGGCAAATTGGAAGTGGTCAAACAGGAGATGGCAAGAGTGAATTTTGACATTTTAGGAATCAGTGAAATGGACTGGAATGAATGAATTTAACTCAGATGACCATTATATCTACTACTGTGGGCAGGAATCCCTTGGAAGAAATGGAATAGTCATCATAGTCAACAAAAGAGTCCAAAATTCAGTACTTGTATGCAGTCTCAAAAATGACAGAATGATTGTTACTTTCCAAGTCAAACCATTCAATATCACCAGTAATCCAAGTCTCTGTTCCAGTCAATAACACAGAAGAAGCTGTGGTTGAATGGTTCTATGAAGACCAATAAGACCTTTTAGAACTAACACCCAAAAAAGATGTCCTTTTCATTATAAGGGACTGGAATGCAAAAGTAGGAAATCAAGAAACACCTGGAGTAACAGGCAAATTTTGCCTTGGGGGACGGAATGAAGCAGGGCAAAGGCTAATAGAATTTTGTCAAGAGAACGCACCGGTCATAGTGAACAGCCTCTTTCAGCAACACAAGAGAAGACTGTATACGTGGACATAACCAGATGGTCAATACCGAAATCAGATTGATTATATTCTTTGCAGCCGAAGATGGAGAACCTCTATAAAGTCAGCAAAAACAAGACCTGGAGCTTACTGTGGCTCAGAACATGAACTCCTTATTGTCAAATTCTGACTTATTTCCAAGAAAACAGGAAAAACCACTAGACCATTCAGGTATGACTTAAATCAAATCTCTTACAATTATACAGTGGGGGTGACAAATAGATTCAAGGGATTAGATAGCTAGACAGAGTGCCTGCAGATCTATGGATGGAGGTTCATGCCATTGTATGAGAAGCAGGGATCAAGATCATCCCCAAGGAAAAGAAATGCAAAAAGGAAAATTGGTTGTCTGAGGAGGCCTCACAAATAACTGAGAAAAGAAGAGAAGCTAAAGGCAAAGGCAAAAAGGAAAGATATACCCATTTGAATGCAGAGTTCCAAAGAATAGCAATGAGAAATAAGAATGCCTTCCATGGTGATCAAGGCAAAGAATTAGAGAAAAAAAATAGAATGGCAAAGACTAGAGCTCTCTTCAAGAAAATTAGAGACACCAAAGGAATATTTCATGCAAAGATGGGCACAATAAAGGACAGAAATGATATGAACCTAACAGAAGCAGAAGATATTAAGAAGAGGTTGCAAGAATACACAGAAGAGCTACAAAAAATTTCTTCAGGACCCAGATAATCACGATGGTGTGATCATCAACTAGAGCCAGATATCCTGGAATGTAGAGTCAAGTGGGTCTTAGGAAGCATCATTACAAACAAAACTAGTGGAGGTGATGGAATTCCAGTTGAGCTGTTTCAAATCTTAAAAGATGATTCTGTGAAAGTGGTGCACTTAATAGGCCAGCAAGTTTGGAAAACTCAGCAGTGGTCACAGGAAGGAAAAGGTCAGTTTTCATTCCAGGTCCAAAGAAAGGCAATGCCAAAGATTGCTCAAAACACCACATAATTGCCCTCATCTCACACACTCGTCAAGTAATGCTCAAAATTCTCCCAGCCAGGCTTCAACAATACATGAACCATGAATTTCCAGATGTTCAAACTGGATTTGGGGACAGCAGAGGAACTAGAGATCAAATTGCCAACATTTGTTGGATTATCAGAAAAGCAAGAGAGTTCCAGAAAAATGTCTATTTCTGCTTTATTGACAATGCCAAAGCCTTTGACCGTGTGGATCACAACAAACTGTGGAAAGTTCTAAAAGAGATGGAATATCAGACCACCTGATCTGCCTCTTGAGAAATTTGTGTGCAGGTCAGGAAGCAACAGTTAGAACTGGTCATGGAGCAACAGACTGTTTCCAAATAGAAAAAGGAGTATGTCAAGGCTATATAATGTCACCTTGCTTATTTAACTTATTTGCAGAGTACATCATGAGAAACGCTGGGCTGGATGAAGCACAAACTGGAATCAAGATTGCTGGGAGAAATATCAGTAACCTCAGATGAGGTTACTGCAGATGACACCACCCCTATGGCAGAAAGTGAAGAAAAACTAAAGAGCGTCTTGATGAAAGTGAAAGAGGATAATGGAAAAGTTGTCTTAAAACTCAACATTCAGAAAACTAAGATCATGGCATCCAGTCCCATCACTTCATGGCAAATAGATGGGGAAACAATGGAAACAGTGGCTGACTTTATTTTTGGTGGCTCCAAAATTTCTGCAGATGGTGACCACAGCCATGAAATAATAGATGCTTGCTCATTGGAAGAAAAGTTATGAACAACCTAGACAACATATTAAAAAATAGAGACATTACTTTGCCAAGAAAAGTCCGTCTATTCAAAGCTATAGTTTTTCCAGTGGTCATGTATGGATGTGAGAGTTGGACTGTAAAGACGACTGAGCACTGAAGAATTGATGCTTTTGAACTGTGGTGTTGGAGAAGACTCTTGAGAGTCCCTTGGACTGCAAGGAAATCCAACCAATCCATCCTAAGGGAAATCAGTCCTAAATATTCATTGGAAGGACTGGTGCTGAAGCTGAAACTTCAATACTCTGGCCACCTGATGGGAAGAACTGACTCATTTGAAAAGACCCTGATGCTGTGAATGATTGAAGGCAGGAGGAGAAGGGGATGAGTGAGAATGAGATGGTTGGATGGCATCACCAACTGAATGGACATGAGTTTGGATAAACTCCGGGAATTGGTGATGGACAGGGGCATCTGCTGTGCTGCAGTCCATGGAGTCACAAAGAATCGGTCACAACTGAGCCACTGAACTTGCACTTAACTTGTAAACATACTAATCTAGTTTGGTGAAAGGAAGTTCTGGAACCACACTGTCTGTGTTCAAATCCCTTCCCTGACATTCTGTAGCTATAGGAGTTGGACACATTCTTAATTCTTTTAGCAATTTTCTTTTTTCAAATGGGAATAATTATAGATTACGTACAGAAATTAAGTAATATAGTTTTTGTGAGGGTTAGTAGAGTTAATATAAGTAAGATGTTTATAATATTTCTTGGAATGGAGTACTCATTGGGCACTTGTTTGCAATTATGACTAAATGCTAGGCACTTTGCTAGATGCAGGGAATTTGGTGATGAACCTTGGAAAGATTGGTATTAGCACATAAACTGACATGAGTATATAATTCCAAACAGTGATCACACAAAAATGGAAGTATATAATCAGAAGGACTAGAATGAGGGTGAGAAATAAGAAGGGTTAGTGTAGAAAACTATTTAAGGAGTAATTGTTCTTTGTCGCTCATTTGTGTCCAACTCTTTGCAACCCCATGTACTGAAGTTCGCCAAGCTCCTCCGTCCATGGGCATTTTCCAGGCAAGAATACTGGAGTGGGTAGTCTTTCTCTTCTCCAGGTAGCCTTTCCCTACTCCAGAAGGAATGATTAATTCATCCTTAATATTGTAGCATTTTTTTAAATAAATGGTTAAAACTTGATAAATTCTACCATTTATTTTTGTTCTTATAAATAAACCTTTTGTAATTTTGTTTTTTTTTTCACATATGTGGATATATATATAGCTGTACAGAGAAAGAATAAGCATTATCTATTTTTACAGCCTATCAACTAAGAGTGTGTCAGCCTCCACCACCCGTACCTAATGCTGAAATTTTGACAGAAGATGATGAATTTGAAATAGGTAAAGTGTCTTAAATTACTTTCAAAGAAAACACACTGTTAACAAATTTTTTCTTAAAATCAATAAAAATAAAGAATAGTAGCAGCCTGTCTTAAACCTTCTTTCCCTGGATTGATGGGGATTGTTTAGAATTTATAAGAATGGAAAACAGTGAAAAGAGGCAAGGGAATGTTAGGTAAGAAAAAAAAATTCTGTATTTTTAGAATGTACAGTTAGAAAACAGTACAGGAATCTGAGCCATATAACTATTCTGGTAGTTATTTCCAAATTAATATTTTGCTACCTTCCAACACTGTAGTCTTAACTATTGTTCTTCAAATTCAGGCATAAACTTGATATGTATAATAAATGATATGCAGGTTGTATTAGATGACGTTTGATTTCCATATCCTTGAAAATAACTCATTATGTTCCATGTGATCAAAAATAAAGTCCTTTTAAAGTTGATTGGAAATGTAACCTCAATAATATCTCATAGTTCGAAAAATTATGTAAGAAAATAATGCATCTTAATGTAACAAAATAAAGTTTATCATTATTATCTATTAATATTAGTTTTGGTTGAGAAATGTAAGAAAATATCAATGACCAATGTGAATCTAATCTTGATAGCAGTAACTAGGAATCCTTTTAACTGCTTGATATACTTTTAATGAATATCTTACCTGTACCAACCAGATTATTTCCTTACCACTATTGCTTATATATAATCAGATTGCTCCAGTACCAGTTTTACTGGTATTTATTCTTGGCTTCAGTTCCAATTGGTCAGTGCTCATGACTTACTAGTAGTTTAATATTTTGAATATCATCACTGCTTACAACTAATAGAATTTTTATACTGATTGAAAATGACTGAAAGAAAAAATATTCAGATTTTATAACTGAACCATCTGTTTATTTTAACCATTACCTTGGTGCTTATCTGAAGCCCTTTCTGCCTGTTTTTTCAATAGGTGATATTATTAGATATCAATGTCTTCCAGGATTTACTTTGGTTGGTAATGCAATTCTGACATGCAGATTAGGAGAACGACTCCAGATGGATGGAGCACCTCCCGTTTGTCAAGGTACCAATTCTTATGATTATTTATTTCTAAGTATTTGTTTTATGTTTAATTCAGTACTAACAAAATTGAGAAAACTCTATTTTATACAATTATTATATATTTAACTGACAGTAATTTAAAAATTATATTACTCATATATGGTGTTTTTCATTCTATTATTTATCAGATTTAACTAAACATTGTTTATTCATCCAAGGTTTAATTTTTCTAGTCTATCCCATAGTCAGTTCAACTTATTTAAATTATTTTTGCTGTGAGGTTTAGAAGTGGAGATAGAAAGCAAGAGAAACCATTTTAAATAAAGGTTCCAATGTGGATTTCAAGTAGCTTTTGTTCTAACCACTAGAATCATTAAACTTTATTGAGCACATATTAAGAATGAAGATCTAAGGGAAAAAACAAAAGAAAAGTTGCAAATGGTCCCTGCTTGAAAGCAAAATGGTGTAAGGAATATGACAGCCATATAACTGGAGCATACAGCAGTAACGTAGAATCATAATTTTAAACTGTTTATATGAGAGGGAAAGCTTGATGGAGGCATTACTCCCTTAGTCATGGGTTCTGAATAACAAATGATACTTACTTTGGTAGAACTGAGCTAGCAAAAGAGTTAGCCAAGAAACAGAGGTATATGCAAAGACACAGAAATGAAAGATGGTGAAATGCAGACTTCAAGGAATTCAGTGTTACAAGGACAAGACCATGATGGATCTTGAATGGTGTACTGGGATTTTGATGTTCAGGAATCATGTATTATTAACTTGTGTAGCTCCTAGGGCCATAATAGTGCCTAATACACCTGACAACCCACTCCAGTCTTCTTGCCTGGAAAAGCCTATGGATGGAGGAGCCTGTCAGGCTACAGTCCATGGGGCCGCAAAGAGTTGGACCCAGCTGAGTGGCTTCTCTTTCTTTCTTTTACATAGTAATTAATTATAAATATTGGTTAGCTTGAGTAAAATTGATTTTGATTATCTCTCCCCAGATTTTCTTGAATTGCTTCCTTCACTGGGGTTTATTTCTAAGAAATAGAAATCAATTTTCCATGTAGTATCTTAACTCTTCTAATGATAAAACAAAAATTCTGTTTATTATTTCAAACATGCTGTCAGTAGGAAGAAATGTTTGATTTTTCTACTTCTGTGGAGTCCTCAGTCTTAGAAGATAAGGGCTCTCAAAGCATCAAGAAAGGAAAGATGAGTTTGGAGATATAACCAGCACCAGTATAAGAATTTCCCTTGATCTTAATCAATGATTTTGTAGGCCATCTTAGGGTTGGTTGTTAATTCTGAAGTTTATCACCTGTATTCCTGAATGAACAAGCAATTACATGTCAAGGTTTCTTCCTTGACCCAATATATAACTTAATTGTGAGCTCTTGGAGAGCAATACTTCTTATTTATATCTAGATCCAAATTCAGCATTATTTTTAATTAAAAAAAAAACAATTTTGTTAACTTTGTTATTTGAGTCCCTCATATCTCAAGACTTTCAATATCTTATTTCTAAAATCAGAATTTCCTGTAGTAAGTGCATCTCCTCCTATTTTATCTTCTGTGGAGAGTACAAAAAAGGAGACAATCAATGTTTGCTCCATAATAATACCATGGGTACTAGCTAAAGTTAATTATCCCTCAGAATGAGTTTAGATAGAGTTACTATATTAATTAATTGACCTAGCACTTTAGCAAAAATTCTGCGTTTAGATATTTGTTTAGGGACTTCCTGGGTCCAGTGGTTAAGATTCCATGTTCCTAATGCAAGGGGAAGAGGTTTGATCTGGGGAAATGATATCCTGCCACACAGTATGGCCAAAAAAATATTTTTTTTCTTCAATTGAATTAATTCACAGTCCTGCTAAAAAACTGTTATTCATTTGGAATCTGTTGTAACCAATAATACTGTTTTTATTAATAATCTATTTTAAATTATTTTACTTTTTCACTTCTCCTAAAAGAGGCTACATCACTTTTGTTATTCCTCCCTGGATCCTCGTTAGTTCTTTATATCACACTTAAAACATGGAAAGCATTTCTAAATATGATGTTCTTCAAAGGGTTTAATGTAAATAAAATATAATAGGTGACTAAGGCTTCCCTGGTGGCTCAACAATAAACAATCCGCCTGCCAATGTATGAGGCATAGGTTTGATTCCTGGGTTGGAAGTTCCCCTGGAGGAGGAAATGGCAACCCACTCCAGTATTCTTGTCTGGAAAATTGCATGGATGGAAGATCTTGGTGGGCTACAGTCCATGGGATTTCAGAGTCAGACATGACTTAGCAACCAAAACATGTATAAAGGGGAAAAACTGTAAACACTTCTTAAAGTTGTGGTGGCAAATAAGTGATATAATACACAGAAAGTGCTTAACAGTATATTCTTGCTTTATGTTGGTTAGTATGAGAATAGGTTAATTTTTGTATTTACAGTAAGTTATATCAAATTGTCTCTGTTTTTCAAATGTAATATGAAATAATTGTTCAGTCGAAAACATTGGGACTATTAAGACATATACTTGCTTTTCTGTAACAATAGCCTAAGAAGAAAGTTTAAAAAGCTAAGAAATTATAGCCATAAAATTAACTAACTGCAACAATAGAAGCATATATTAAGAGGCACCAAGAAGGAAATAAGCAGTTCTGCTTGGACTGATGGAGAAGAGATTCAGGAAGTATTTCACAGAGGGTGAGACTTGGTCTGGGTTTTGAGGTGCCCAAATATTTCAAGTGTATCAGACGAGGACATTTGAAAGAGAAGAACTAACAGATATGCTAAATTGAGAAAATTATAGGTTATCCAGTATGTTTGGAGCGTTCTGTTTCAGAGGAGGAATAGCAGAAAACAAAGATGGAGAGGCATGCAGGGACTAACCTTGAAGGCTTTGAAGGAGCTGAATGGTTTTTAGTGAGGGGCTGACATGTTCAATAACACACTCACTCACCTAGCTAAATATTTCGGAAGTATTAAATATCAGTAGCTGGGCACACACAACATAACCCTTTTCTTAAAACTTACTTGTCATATCTTTTAATCATCTATATCCTTTATTTCAATATGCCATAGCTATATATTCATTAATCTTCATCTTGACTCAATTTTTTTTTCCATTCCATTTCTAACCTTAAAATTTCTTCATTTGTTCATTTGTTTATTTTACCTATTTTCACTTTGTAAAAAGAAAACATCAGATTTCTCTTTTTAGACTGAGAATGATCCAATACTATTTGTTGAATTGTTACTTTTTCATTTTGAAATCACATCCAAGATGCAGACATCTCAGATTCAATAAGAGAGATAGAAGTAAAAAAAAAAGAAAGAAAACGGTTCTTAGATTAGCTATAGTATATTCTATAGTAAAAATTCAAATATCTATATATTAATTTATGGCAGATTTTATTAACTCAAGTTATTTTTAGTTATTAACTTGATTAAAGAGCAATCATATGTTGCCATAATTTACTAGTGTATTATACTTTGGAGATGCAGTTGATATATTGTTATGAAATGAACAGCTTATACTTTGTCTTACCTTTTTGGTCTGGAAAGGTAACTGGTGACCCCAAATTGTTTTAAATCTTCATGGTTTAAGCATATTTCTGAGATTAGAGAAGTAGCTTTGTCTGGAATGAATACTCTGAGGTAGGGCAACTTCCTGTCTGTCCTCACATACCTGAGTGAATGAAAGTTTGAGGACAAATGAAAAAGTCAAGAAAAAAAGGACTTAGATAAGAGAGGCAAAGGGAAAAGAACATAAGAAGATGAAGAAAGAGAGGGAAATGATATAAAGATAGAGAAGGAAGTAAATGCCTTTTCTTTTAATTATCTATATATTTATATTTATTAATCCAGAAAGAAAATGTGTCTCCCATGTAATAAAAAAAGGAAATTGATATCATACAATTTTAGGACATTGCTTCATTTTTTGAACTGCAAGCTTATTATACAAGTTGTCATTTTATACACATAGTTCAAAGTATTGTTTCCTTTATTGTTATTTAACATAGAAACAGAATAAGCAGGATTTAAAATGCAGTTTTCACCTAAGTCTGAAATTTGAGCATTATCTAATGATACATCTTTTCTGACAGTGCTCTGTCCCGCCAATGAATTACGCCTGGATTCTACGGGAGTCATATTGAGCCCTGGATATCCTGACAGTTACCCAAATCTTCAAATGTGTGCCTGGAGCATTTCTGTGGAAAAAGGATATAACATCAGCATGTTTGTAGAATTCTTCCAGACAGAAAAAGAATTTGATGTTCTTCAGGTGTATGATGGTAACCATAGGTTATGTTTACTGGATATTCACAAATTCAATTCAAATGCTTAAGTATACATTCAGGCCTTCAATATAAACAACTGCCTATATGATTTTTTTATCTTTTGGATAATTTCAGAAAGTAGCAACATCAAACTTACCTATATACTGTATTGTACTTAGCTTGATCATTCTGTTATAAATTGTAGCTGCTTTAGCTATGGAATTAAAATGTATAAACAAACATGTTATGTTATGTTTAAGTTACTGTTGATGAAGTAAATTGGCCCTGGATGAATTTCACCATATTTAATACTATTCTAAACATGTTAAATACTAAGCATAAGTCGCTCAGTTATATCTAAACTGTATTATTTTCTCTCTGAAGGACCAAACATTCAAAGCCCAGTGCTTGTTTCACTCAGTGGGGATTATTCATCTGCTTTCAACATAACAAGCAATGGTCATGAAGTATTCCTTCAGTGGTCAGCAGATCATGGCAATAACAAAAAAGGCTTCCGGATAAGATATATAGGTATGTGATACTTATAACTTCAGTGCAGATCTCACCTGCATCCTCAGTATGGTTGTGATTAAGGAGCACAGACACAGATACTATTCAGTTAGGTATGAAACTGAATCATGATTCCTCTATTGATGTTTCTTGAGTTATTTATATAACATTTCTGTCCCTCTGTTTCCTTATTATAGTGATAAACAGTACTATATCTTTCACATGATTTGTGAAAAATTAAAAGCACTTAAAGTATTTATGACTTAATTATAAACTTTGATACTTTAAGTGCTTATTTTCCCAAGAGAAGTTTCTCTTGAACACTCAAAAAATAATAGTGTTGCTCAATTGTGTGTTTCTGATCTATTTCATATATAAATAACTCCTTTAATAAGTTTAAACAAAAGATAAACATACAATTGTAAAAATCTTTGTTTTCATCATTGCCCACTGATTTATGATACTTGCTAAAGTATTTTAAATATTAAAATACAAAATGATGAATATATCACTTAAAAACCTTTAGTTTTAAAAAAATTGTTTTTTCATCATTACTTTTCACTAATAGTGAAAAAGATGAGGGCTGAAAATTCTTTTTAATATCAAGATGAAATAGCTTTTTCTATATGCCTTCCTGTTTATGAAGTCTACTGATACTGAGCCCAAAATATTCCTGTTGAATAAATGTACATGGTTTTCCATTATGCAAAGATTATATCCCTTTTGTTTATTACCATCCTAAGTCGTGTCAGAGGGACTGGCTGTGGGGCAAACTGAGTCTTGCTCTGGTGGGCTTCCCTGGTGGCTCAGAGGGTAGAGCATCTACCTGCAATGCGGGAGACCCGGGTTCGACCCCTGGGTCAGGAAGGTCCCCTGGAGAAGGAAATGACAACCCACTCCAGTACTCTTGCCTTGAAAGTTGCATGGATGAAGGAGCCTGGTAGGCTACAGTCCATGGGGTTGCAAAAAGTCAGACACAACTGAGCGACTTCACTAAGTCATGTCAGAGGCCATGGGTATGTGCTCAGGAACAAAACACTTCAGAGCCAATCAGTCATCTCTTTCTTTAGTGTTCAGATCATGTCTCCTGAAGCCACGGATCATGGCATATCAGTCTTACTGAAAATTGCTTTCTTAAATATTTTATAAATTATTCTGACACAATTGTAGACATAAATTTAAAGAAATTTGATGCTAGTTTTAAAGATAAACTGTTGAATTTTACTCATTTATATAAATTTGCATGTATAGTATATAATACAAAATATAATATTTTTTGTCTACTTTGATTTTAAAACTATGATAGTTTGTCCACAATGTGTCTTTTCCATATTAGAAGTAAGTTGCTACTGACATTACATGATAGCATATTTACAGTTTTTATCCTATAATAGATATCTATTGTTTGAAATATTATTAGGCATGCAAAGGAGAAATATTTAAAGACTGAAATATGTACCCAAGTCATCCTTAATACTTTTCATATTTGAATCAAAGTTTCTATCATATGAACTTTATATGTATCTTTTTATTAAAGCTGTGCCCAGACTCTATTTAAAAAGTCAGAACATTAAGTTTTATTTTTAATGACGATAATAACTTAAAGGGAAACCATTTAAATCTAACAATTATAAGCATTAGATTCACTGTATTAAAGACTATATTAAAGACTTATTTATGTTGATCTTCATGACAAAGTTGGACATAAATATAATGAAAAACATCATTTTTAGCCCTAAGAACGACTTGACACATTGAGTACATATTTTGCCTTTAGAAAATGACAGGTTATGACACATATATTCTAAGTCCATCTCTTTCTTACTGTTTACCCCTAAAGTCTCATTTTTTCTCAGATGAATACATTGAAGTTTCAAAGGGTAAATGGATCCTGCCAGGCTGAATAGTCTCAAAAGTACATGTATATGAAAAAGCCAGTTGACATTATCTTTTGACATTTCAGACTTCAGGAGATAAAAAAAGTGTTATTTTATTGGCATTTTTTATCACCATATGTAAGCACTCTTGACAGCATGGAAACGCTTTAATAAACTGGGAGAGAGGATTATGAAGTGCGGAGGGATCTATTTTAGACATCCACCAAAATGAAATGCATGCCCTAACATGACATAGGTGTCTGGAGATAATTTCAAAGTGACATGTAGATACATGCTTTAAAATATTGCTACCCAAACTGTAGCATATAGGCCTTTCAAACGGCAGGAAATAATAACATTTCAAAATTCAATGAACTATTTGTACAGCTTTTGAACCTTCAGGGTGTTACAAAAGTATAATGTATTTCAACTTAGGAGACATCTTCAGTGACAATAAGAATTATAAAAAAGTCCAGAAATAGTTATGTCTCCTAATGTTTATGTCAATAGATTGTCAAGTGGATGGAACATAATATGAGGTCCATATGAAGTAAAATTCACCTAGATGGCAATTGAATTGACCAGTTTTTATAAACTAGTATTATTATATTTTTATAACTGGATTGTAAAGAGTTTCTATTCATTAGTTATACAGTGATTATTATTTTCTTTTAAAAAAGCTTTCTACTGTAGTACACCAGAATCCCCGCCTCATGGATATATTATCAGTCAAACAGGAGGACAGCTAAATAGTGTGGTCCGCTGGGCCTGTGATCGAGGATTCCGACTTGTCGGGAAAAGCAGTGCTGTGTGCAGAAAGTCTTCCTATGGGTATCACGCATGGGATGCGCCGGTCCCTGCTTGTCAAGGTGAAGTATATTAACCAAAAACGGCACGTTGATAAAAGACTAACCTTGTTTAGCTTTTTCATTTAGATTGCCGAAACTTCTAAAATTATAAATATTTGGAAGCATATTATAGATACCTCTAAGGAAAATAAGGCTTGAAAACACAGGCTGATACATTTGAGGAGCATGTGACACATTGTTTTATAATACTTCCATTGTTGTTATGTGATTTATGTCTTTACTCTCTCCACTTATATGCATACTCATACATCTACCATTCCCATCACTTAGCTGTCAAGAATGAATGACCCAGAGCTGGATTTTGTGTTAGGGTGGAATCTGCAGAGAAAAGAGAGGAAAAGATGGGCAAGGTCACTGAAAACATTCACTCTCGAGTGTGCAAACATGTGTTATCGGTGCGACGGATGTAGAAGAAAATGGAAAATGTAGCCAATGACCACATTATTTTTTCTTCACTGTTTAGCTAACTTGACAGAAATTACTTTCGTTTTGTTAAAAATGAAAGCACACTCTAAGCGTTGATCGTGCAATGCAAAAGAATGGCAAATCAACAAATTGCACATTTTAGAGCTTTGGACTAGGTCCAAAAATGTTCTTAAAAAGTAGTTGAGTCTCTTATTAGGTATAGTCATAAAGACAAGTTTAACAATTCCACAGAAGATGTAATGTCATTGGACTTTGACAGTCTTAAAACATATCACATTATTTTGCAATATCAAATTTAAATTTACATTTGATTTATTTTACCCAGCATATGAAGGCATATATAACAACTGTAAACCCTCACATTAAAAATACAAAGCACTTTTAATAAATAATGGGTGTTACTTCTAATTTACCTATTGAAGGCAATTTATATAAAGAAATAAAATATAAAACAAATCAATTAAAATTTAATAGCAAGATGAAATGAACAGAGATTTGATGTTACCAGATAACTGAAATAGTTTCTTTTACTTGTTAAATTGTGATCTCTAATTCATGAAAATATAACTTTCATAGATATATGGAAAAAAATGAGAACTGAAAAACTGTTTCTTTGTTTTATTGATGCAGAAACATTAATTACTTATTAGACAGTGGGTTATCAACAATGAAGTCACTGACTTCTTGTAGAATAGGTACATTTAATAACTGTCAACACATCAGCTTTCCTTTGACCAATGAATAGCAAATGTATTTATACATCTCTAGCATTAGGTAGTTTTCCAGAACTGATCTGAAAACGAATCATGATCTCATAATTTTTAAATCATGAGAATTTAAAATATATATAATAACTTCTATATCATATGGATTTAAAATAAACATTTTAAATGCTCTGAACTTTGAACAATTAAATATCAATTATCAAGAATTATTCATGTATATAATTAATCTTTAAGAAAACTTTAGTGAAAACAGTTAACTATTAGTTAAAATAAAAAATTATACTGAACTTTCTGAAATTTTGACATTGTTTTGTAATGTTAGCACTATAATTTCATTAATTTTTTTGGTATATAATATGACATTTATGTATAGAGCCTTTTTTATTGTTCTTGACTTGAAATTTTTCTATAATTACAAAAGATAAATGTAGCTGAAATAAAGACATTTTACATAATAAAGTATTAAAATATTTATATTAATAACTTGAAGAATCATTTTCAAAATTGACCCTTGATTTTCATTGCAACAAGTTTAAAAGATTAATTATTTTATAAAAAATTTTTATTGTATGTGACCTATCTGTGTTTGGCTATAACTAATTAAAATGAAATGGCTAAATATCATTGGAAAGAGCTGTATACACAATACAGTTTTTTTTGGTTCCAAATTTGTTTTGTATTCTTCAGTCACTTCTGTTCTTGTCCCTTCAGTCTCCTTATACGTCCTTGCATATATTTACTTGAGCTATGGTTAGACAATGTGAACACAGTTAAAGATAGAAAAAGTATTCTGTTATCTCTATTTGGGTTTGGTTAGGTGTTTTGTCTGTATATCAACTGATCATTCATTGACCCCTTGAATTAAATCATTATAATCCCTCTATACAATTGAGTGTTGTATAGTGCCATGTCCAGCACAGCAGGTGAGAAAGACTTGAAAAGGGGTGAGCACCTAATGAAATGACAGACAGATAATCTGGCAAGCAGAGAGTCAGGGGACCCTCCAGCTCCCCATGGCAGGAAGACAAAATGACTCCTCTCAGCCCGCACTTTTATTGGTTGAAGTCATATGAGATCATTAGGAAATAGCTATACTGGGGAGTTTGATCAGCACACCATAAAGAGGGAGTAAAGTTAAGGTTCTGCTGTTAATCAGGAACATCTTGTTTTGTGTCCACGGGGACCGCCGCTGGGGCAGGCAGTGAAGTGGAGCAGAAAGCACGCCCTGCCCCAAGTATGCCCGGTGGACATGCTCACGAGGACAATCAAGAGGGCGCAGTTTGCCGCACCCTCGAGTCAGTGGCGGCTTTTGCTCTCTGCTCTGTCAGGCTGGAGCAGTACAGGATTGTGTAGAAACAGTCACTTTATTTTCCCTGTTTTCACTTTTAATCTGTGGTTTTTGAGAGCTCTGGAGAGAAGCCTCTGACAATCACTCAGTGATGATTTTTCTGAACTGTGTTTTTCTTTTTCTTTTTTTTTAGCTAAGAACTTAAATTGTAAGGTATCTACAGGCATATTTGTCCTATCATTTTAGTATGTTGTCTTTTTTTTCAGTTCTGAAATATAGACACTTTGTCCTAACCAGGTATATGAAATCTATACTATTTAAATTTCATTGTTACTTTGCTATAAGCTTAACCTACACCATCCCAACAATGTGCAGTTAACAGTCTTCAGTAGGGATTCAGTGGGGATGGTTTGTTAAAAATTGAAATTCCCAGAAATCCTAAGTGGAAACACTAACATTGCTTTAATAGACATCAGGGAATGATTTATGTTTGGAACACTATTTTAGAGGTCTATAATTAGATATCTGGGATAATAACATAATTATATGAGATTGCTTATGTAATTTATGAAATCAAAATTACTTTTCTGTTTATAGTTTGTAAGTTACCAGATTACAAAAGATCAAACTATTCAGCAGTAGGGGGTCTGTCATTCAACTTTGAGAATTTTTTATAGGTTTAGCTAAGATTACTTTTTATTTTTATTTTTAGTCAATTAGCATGGATTAATCAAAATTAAACACCTAAGTGATAGGCTTTATGAGAGAAGCAGAAGTAATTTTAGGCTGAAATGAGAGACAGGTAAATAGAATACAACTTTTATAAATATTCCAACTAAGATCACATTTTTCTGTTCTTTTCATATGAGAAAATTATAGTTACAAGTCCAAAATATCTTGTGTGAAAACAATAAAATGAGCTGTTTCAGAAATTAGAAATTTTATGTCCAGATGTCATAAATAACTCCAGCTGGTTGAAGTCTATACCCATATTCAAATATATTAATCTTTCTGCAGATATATGTATGAATATTTATACTGAATATTACATAAAAGATACAGAGAATCTCATTTAGGGTTTGTCTGCCAAATATATTCTTTGAAAATTTATTTTTTTTTCTTTTTGGAGATGCAAATTGTGTACATGTAGAGCACCGACTGGAAGCAACTGACTTTAGGGGAATTCTGTATAGACATTTTAACTTATGTGAAAATATCTTATATACAATAAACTATATAAATAAAAATCTATACTTTAAATAGCACCTTATGGTAAGACTTATGTAAATTAGATTTATTGTAAATAAAAATCGAGACATCAAAGACATATCAGCAAAATGCAGAAATACCCAAGCTACATTGAAAACAGTAGGTCCTGACCCTGTATTTATTAGACATATTCATATACATCATATTCCATGAATGGTACTTAAGCACATAGAGTTTGACTGGACCTAAGATAAGGTATTATCCAGCTTCCAGGTAAAAACCTGTTTTCCTCCTGCCCGAAATCCTCAAGTGTTGGTTATCACCACCTGTAAACTCTTTAATCAAATTGAATAGACCTAATTTGCTATGTCCAGACATGAGTTATCACTAATACACTCTATATTTTCCTACCTTGCCTTCTCATATAATCTATAAACATGCTGATAATCATGCACACACTGACAAGAAACTCAGTAAGAAACTAAGAAAGAAAGCATTAATGATGTATGGATTCACCAATTTAAAAGCACTTTCAACAAGAGTTTGAAATAAATGATTCAGAAAAAGTTATAGCTCAGAAAAGCTTTTTGGGGAGGTATTCTGAAATTGTTTCAGAGGAATTAATAAAATTCCAAATAGTTTTATATGCTTTACAGCTAATGAAAAAATCTAATTATTTTCTGCTTCTTTGGTCTTTTATATATGTATTTATTTTAGCAATTTCCTGTGGGATTCCTAAAGCTCCAACCAATGGAGGAATACTCACAACAGACTACTTGGTAGGAACCCGAGTTACCTATTTTTGTAATGATGGATATAGACTGTCATCTAAGGAACTTACCACAGCCATATGTCAGTCAGATGGAACTTGGAGCAATCATAACAAGACCCCTCGCTGTGTTGGTATGTAATGTATTAAGGAAATTTCATCACTTGTGTTTCTACTGGTATCTTATATGATTTAAAACTTTATGTATCAAATTGTAGAGCTCTTCCCTGAAGTGATGTCTAAGAAATAAAAGTAAATTAAGCTGTCTTGTGCTATAAAGAACTAGAATATAGTGTAAGGACTTTTTACTCATTTTCAGAAGCTCTAGAATATATATGTCAAGAGAATAAAGTGAAATTTTATTTTACATAAAACTTTTTATTTACTTTGTAGAAAGGCGTCCATCAGTCAGCATGTTTTCAATTCATAGGTCTTTTGAAAAATTTTAAGTTTGCATGAATGAAATTATATTTAATACATTCAGTTCTGGTTTTTATAAACATAAATGATGCTGCTGAGATGATCCAAACTTTCCAATAATTGTCAGAATTCTTCATAGAGCTTACATTTAGAATATTTCTCATTGCTGTCATTAATACTGTAATAGGTAAAATAATATTATGGTCATTGAAAATAATTCAGGTAAAATATTAGATAGTAAAAGGATTGGAAATGTGTTTAAAGAAGGTCTTTAATTTTTCTCTATAAATCACTTATTTATTCTCCATTTCAACTTAGCTGTGATTTCATTTAAAATGGGATTCTTAAATTATTTGAAATCTTAAGTGTCTAGTAACGCATTTACTTATGCTGAGCAAGTTTTGAATTAGCTGAAATTTATATTGACACTGGGAACTGAGTTCTGTTCATTCAGCCAAAGAGTGAATAGTGAAAACTCAGAAACACTCACACAGGCAAAGTTTATTTTAAAGGATAGAGATATAAAAGTTCTTAGCATAGACACTGAGAGGGGGTAAAGAGCCCCCAAAAGGAGTGAATAACAGCAGTTTATATCTTTATTAAAATTAATCTGTTCAGTTCTGGTTGGCTGGGAGCCAGATGTGTGTAATTTCTGACCAATCAGTTTAAATGTTGCCATATCCAGTTTGTCATTTTTATGGCTTTTTCGGGTCCCCCATTTTCTCAGTGTCTCCAGATATTGTGATGCATCTATTGACCCTTTCTGAGGACCTCAGAGAATTATTTAGGCACCAAATACATGTTTAAGAGTTACTGGTCCACCTGGAGTTTTTCTTCTTGATAAACTGAATGTCAGTTAATGATGATCTTGTCCTGGGTCTGCATGGTTTATGACCCTCCAGACTAGGGAGGCATTCCTCTGAATGCCTGGAAACTGGAGCAAATATGTCTTTAGGCTAGTGGAGCACAACATTCATATGAGAGAATTAAAATTGAAATTAGAAAAGAACAGAGCCTCTGACCCTACACTGACTGCCTAACAATTTCCACCTCAATATCACAAGTCTTGCGTCAAAAGATCATTCTCATTAGACAGATTTTCTCAAAATATATAGTCAGTGATAGAGATTCTAGGTAAGTGGAACAATATGTACAAATACTTTCAACTGTGAAATAGCATGACATGTTCAAGGAATTTCCAATAATACCATAGAGCTGAGGGAAAGATTAGCATGGAAAAAAAATTACTAAAGACTTTTTATGGCACAATAGTGAAGGAAGTAAGGAAGTGATGAACTAAGAATGGAATAGACATGAGACATAATTAAGTAAAACAGACATGACTGACTTAGTAGTATTTAACTTGGTTTTTATATAGTTGTTACATGTCCAAGTATCAATTCCTTTACTTTGGAGCATGGAAGATGGAGAATTGTGAATGGTTCCCATTACGAATACAAAACCAAAGTAGTTTTCAGCTGTGATCCTGGTTATCATGGATTAGGTCCTGCTTCTATTGAATGTCTTCCTAATGGTACCTGGAGTTGGAGAAATGAAAGACCATATTGCCAAAGTAAGTATACACTCCATTAAACTTATTTCATAAGCAATCCTTGGTGATTGAATTACTTGATCATTTCTCTACACACTCTAGAACAATAATGAGGTAATATTATTTAAAAAATGATTTATTCTCAAGTCATCTTAAAAACTTTGTAACTGTTTTTGTATTTGTAAGTGCTTATTAAAAACAGAGTATTTGGGTTCAGATATCCTTTGCTTGGATTCTAGGTATATCATTTATTAAAACAGCTATGCACTGATTTTAGCCCTTTACATGTATTATTTCATTTATATCTTAACTTCCATTCTATAAATTAGTTGATATTATTATATTTATCTTACTAAAGAAGAAACTGTGCACAAGAATTTAATCATGTTAAGTCATAGAGCCTATAAATGGTGAAGAAATGGGCTTCAACCCAAGGATTCTAATGAAAACCTCTGCCTTTTGGTGTTATATGATGTTTATTCTATTTCTTAAACTAGAAAATTACAGTAATACCTTGTTGTTGTTCATTTGTTATGTCCAGTTCTTTGTGACTCCATGGACTGTAGCCTGCCAGGCTTCTCTGTCCATGGATTTCCCAGGCAAGAATACTAGAGGGGCTTGTTATATCCTTCTCCGTAAGTTCTTCCAGATCCGAGATAGACACCATGTCTCCTGTATTGGCAGGCAGATTCTTTACCCTGAGCCACCAGGGAAGCCCACAGTATTACCTATCTCATACTTACTATTTACAATTTAATGGTGTTACATGTTGAAAATACCTGCTAGAACCTGATTCACAGCAGAAATTCAGTAAACATTTATTGAGTCATATTGAACATTTTAGTCTTTCTATTTCCATGCGTTCTTATAATATTACTATAAATGGCCAGTGTGTAAAGTAGATAAGCTAGCTGAACATAGAAAAATCAGTGGAAATATCTTGAACTTTCTTCACTACATTTATTGGGTGTTTACTTCAGTTCAGTTCAGTTCAGTTGCTCAGTCATGTCTGACTCTTTGCAACCCCATGAATTGCAGCACCCCAGGCTTCCCTGTCCAACACAAACTCCCAGAGTTTACTCAAACTCATGCCCATCGAGTCAGTGATGCCATCCAGCCACCTCATCCTCTGTCATGTCATCCCCTTCTCCTCCTGCCCCCAGTCCCTCCCAGCATCAGGGTCTTTTCCAATGAGTCAACTCTTCGCAACAAGTGGCCAAAGTATTGGAGTTTCAGCTTCAGCATCAGTCCTTCCAATGAATACTCAGGACTGATTTCCTTTAGGATGGACTGGTTGGATCTCCTTGCAGTCCAAGGGACTCTCAACAGTCTTCTCCAACACCACAGTTCAAAAGCATCAATTTTTCAGCGCTCAGCTTTCTTCACAGTCCAACTCTCACATCCATACATGACCACTGGAAAAACCATAGTCTTGACTAGACATACCTTTGTTGGCAAAGTAATGTCTCTGCTTTTTAATATGCTCTCTAGGTTGGTCATAACTTTCCAGTATTTACTTAGTGCCAGGAAATATGCTAAGCTGAAAATTCATCCTTTTATTTCATGTTCATCACAATTTTAAGACTTTTATGATACAGACACATAATTTAGAAATAAACTAATAAAAACATCTGAAATCTAAATGGATTATGGTGACTAAAATATTTAACATAACAGATAACTCTAACATAACTGTCTATATGTAATAAGTATAGAAGTATCTAGTAATAATTTGCTTATGAATATTTGATTTATTTTCTTAATCTCCATGTAAGCAAAGAATTTTGGGGTTGCCATTTTTATAATCATTGGTGAATTAAATCTCAAAATGCATGTATAAGTTATATATTCTAAAACTATAGCATATGTATTTGTAAATTTTGCCTTATTCTTTTAGGTTTTCACCCAAGATCTTTCCTTTTCTCTGGTCTCATTGTTCTTCCATTTTAAATTCATTAAAAGGGCACATGGAATAAGGATATTTCAAAGAGCTAGGAAGAAATGTATAACAGCAGCATTCATTAAATCAGACATTGAACAAATATTTGTCTAGTTTCTTTGTGTTCTGTCCTTTATTATATAGAAAATTTTAAGTTCTATGTAAGATTAAGTTCCTGACCAGAAGTGAGAATGGAGCAAAAATCAGAACGTAAGAATTGCAATTCATAGAAAAAAATGGAAAAAACATAATTTTTTTCTGGCCCTTCATTTATTCATCTTTTACATTAAAACATTATAAATATCAGTGTTATTAACCCTGAATAAATATTATAGCTACCGCAAAGGATTGTTTGGGGGATTAGTTGAAAACAGTCAATATATCTTAAATTTTACATGCAATTTTTCAAAGTTTGCAAGTTTTCTATTTGTCTATCTAATAGTCTCCTAAAGCCTAGAGATGAAAGCCAGACCTGGAGCCAGACAAAGGCTTGTGGTTAATTATTCAATTCTGGATTTAAACTGCTAGCTGTAAATTTTTATTTAGCTATTTATGGGCTCTGGAATCTTATTAAAGTTACTGATAAATCAGAGAAAGACTTTGGACTAATAAATTATCCTCCTTTTAATCTTGCTATTTTTTTTTTTCACCACAAGCTGTTGAGTGACCAGGTTGGCTAAGCAAAAAATACAAACAAAATCACATGTCATCATGTGTCACTGTTACTTCCTTGGTGGCTCTGCTGGTAAAGAATCCACTGGCAATGTGGGAGACCTGGGTTCGATCCTTGGGTTGGGAAGATCCCCTGGAGAAGGGAATGGCTACCCACTCCAGTATTGTGGCCTGAAGAATTCCATGGACAGAGGAGTCTGGCAGACTACAGTCTGTGGGGTCCCAAAGAGTCAGACAAGACTGAACGACTTTATTGCATTACATGGGAACTCAAAGGAGAAAAACTTTAAATTATGTCATTTATTTTCTCTATACTTTTATGATCTTTCAAACATGTTTTGCAAATGTCAAGTTTAATTGTCATATTTAATTGTCAATTTTAATGGTCAAATCATAAGAATTCAGAATGTTGAAAACATGATTTTGTTACAAGTTCATGTTGACTGTGTCTTTAGGAGTTTTTATTATGTTATTGTTTTCAAGTTATTTCCTGTGGAGAACTCCCAACCCCTCCCAATGGAAATAAGATTGGAACTCAGACTTCATATGGCTCAACGGCCATCTTTACCTGTGATTCAGGATTCATGCTTGTGGGCTCTGCTGTTCGGGAATGCCTTTCTTCAGGTCTTTGGAGTGGATCAGACACCAGATGCCTAGGTACAGATTTTTAAGTCATTGTAACCAAACACTTTTTTCTCCCTCTCAAAAGACAGCCTTTTTTCATAATAAGAAATAATAACATATTCACTCAGTAAGGATGATAAAAACTGGAAAATGTTTAAATTTTAAAATGTCTCATGGTAGAAAAACTATTAAACAGATATCTCTTAATCTACTAGTATTCCAAATGAGAATCTTAAGTCATTAAGGAAAGGCAGAATGTTTTCCCAGCATGATGAAAATAAAAGGTGAAAACTAATTGCTGAAAATTGTATGTCTGCATACTCCACTGGATTAAGCACTGTAGCTGTTAATTTATTCTAAACCATAGTCAATTCTCCTTTCACCTGTTTGCTTAAGGTAATGACTAAAGAAGAAAAACAATTTCCACATTTAACTTTCTCCCTTTTTACTTTCTAACAATTCAACATGTGTATTATTACTTTTTATTAAAACTTGAAAAATCTATTTTTCAAACCTGAAAAGTGAAACGTGAGTAAAGTGAAAGTGAAGTCACTCAGTCGTGTCCAACTCTTTGCAACCTCATAGACGGTAGCCTACCAGGCTCCGCTGTCCATGGATTTTCCAGGCAAGAATACTGGAGTGGGCTGCCATTTCCTTCTCCAGGGGACCTTCCCAACCCAGGGATCGAACCAGGTCTCCTGCGTTGCAGAGAGATGCTTTACCATCTGAGCCACCAGGGAAGCCCAATTTAGGCAAATAGGTTCCCCCTGGGGTTTTTTTTGTTGTTGTTGATTAATTCTAAAAAAACTGTTCATTAAAAGAAACTGAATAGCTAGTTTTTTGTATCCTTTCTATTATTATTAAAATAATATTATGACGTATGTTTCATCCTTTTTTTAAAGACTTAAACAATTAACTTATGATTAATAAAATGGTTTAAGACTTATTTTTCTCTAAAATTATTTCAAGAAATGAGAGAAAGTGTTAAATTAAGTAATAATAATAATAATTGTTCTGATAAAATATTCACTTGCCTTTTGGGAACAAACATAAACTTATTATTTATGATTTTTAAAATTGCTGATTATTATGAACAGGATATTTCTAAATTTGTACTGTGTTTCAACTTTAAAATTTTACTGGAGAAAAATATGACACATGGCAATAAAGCCTGTGACTTTAACAGTTTGCATACATATTGTATTGATAACAAGCTTGAAAACATTAGTGATGTTACAGTCATCATTTGAAACTTTAAAGGATGTAGCTAGAGATTTTGGTTAAAATTCCTTTTCTCACCCTCTCACGCATATTTGTTAGTAGGTATACTTGGAAACTCAGTAACGATGGTTTCTTTATTAGAGTACACATATTTATTTGAATATTCTGTAAGAATATTACATAAAAATAAAATGATAAATAAATTAAATCATGTATTAATATAGAATTGAATAATAAAATACTTTCTATTAGTTTCTAACTTGGTTTTGGTTATGCTCATTTCAATTACAGATTATCTAATTTATTTTAAAATCTTATTTGGAATTATATTTTAAATTATATTTTATTTTTAAAATAAATTTTATTTTATTATACATAAATATTATTTTATATATATTAATATTGTATATAATATACATTATTATTATAAATAAATTTTTAATAATTTTAAAATATATGTAAACTAACTTTAAAATGAACTATGGACGGATGTTCATGACATTGTAGAGGAGACAGGGATCAAGACCATCCCCAAGGAAAAGAAATGCAAAAAGGCAAAATGGTTGTCTGAGGAGGCCTTACAAATAGCTGTGAAAAGAAGAGAAGCAAAAAGCAAAGGAGAAAAGGAAAGATATTCCCATTTGAATGCAGAGTTCCAAAGAATAGCAAGGAGAGATAAGAAAGCCTTCCTCAGTGATCAGTGCAAAGAAATAGAGGAAAACAACAGAATGGGAAAGACTAGAGATCTCTTCAAGAAAATTAGAGATA